TAGCAAAAGCAATTTCAGCTTTTGATATACGGTTCGTGCTCTCATCTTCAGTGCCAAGGGCACTGACACAACTACCCAAGTAGTTGAATTTCCGAACGAATTCCAGCTGATCCCCACTAAGGTTCAGCGAAGGAGGCAATCGCTGTCAATCTTGGAGGAACGCTTTGCAATTCGATGGTGCAAAGCAAAGCCCGAAACGGCTGACAGGCAGTACTAATCTTTCCAATGCAGCTTAGTACGTCTGGGAGCTGTCACAAATGAGGGCAATGTCGTCTGCATACTCCAAGTCAAGAAGTCGTTCTCCTGGGAGTAGCTCCACACCTTTTAAATCGTGTCCTGTGAGCGCAATTTCCATGACTTCGTCAAAAGCGAATTTGAAGATCGAAGGTAACAACTGGCATCCTTGTCTCACACCGCTGGAGATAGCCAAAGGCGAAGACAGCTTGCCCTAATCACATTGCCCGTGCTAGTCGCGTAAAATGTTCAGATAATAGTTACATGTTTATCACACGCACTTCTGAGTGGACGGTTCCAAAGGGCACATCGATCAACCGAATCGAGTGCACATTTGATGTCGAGGAACACGACTATGGTGGGCTTCCAATATGTGTGACCGTGTTCCAAAAACTGACGCGAGGTAAATATGTGTTCAATACAGCCACGACCCCGACGAAATCTGGCTTGCTCCTCACGAGTCTGGCTTTCACGAGCGCCAGTCAATATTTGGAGAATTATGGAGGCAAGTAATTTGGAGGCGATTGAGATCAGACTGATTCCACTATTGTTGATGTATTCCGAAAGCGAGCATCCTTTGAAGATAGGAACAATAACGGAATGGCTCCAGTCGGTTTGGACAGTCTCCCTTTCCCACAGTTTCACTAGTAATTCATGTAAAGCATCAATAAGAACAGAGCCTCCGAATATGAAGAGGACTGGCGGAAGATCATCTGGTTCTGCGACTTTGTCAACTTTAACCGTCCGATCTCACGTTCGACTTCTGAGCGAGAGGGCGGATCCAAAGGGATAGCTCACGGAGCAGGGCAATCACGGGCCGGCGAATAATCGAACAATTCCGATCGATTAACTTGCTTTTTCAAAATATTCATCGCAAAGCTCTAAACCTTTTGACAAATTGTGAATAGACTGTCCACTCTCGTCACGAATCGTTTCACTAACTACAGGTTTCCTGCTGACTGTTTCCGTATCAGACGAAACCACTTTAGATTATTAACACGGTAGCGGCCACTTCCTTCTCTGAGTCCATTTGAGACCACCAAGATTTGCGTCTCTCTACAGGCTAGCACGGAGTTTTACTCGGAGATCTTTGCGAGTTTCATTGAGTTCGCTTCCAACCGGGATATGCCGGTTAGCGTCGATAATTTCCAGAGACCGCGAAGAGGCCCAATGTCCATGTTGGCGATTAGACTTACCACATGAGGATTGGCCTGCTGCTAGTAAGGTCTGGTGAATATGTGACCAGTGACCATCAGTTGTCTCTAGTGAGCGCTTACTCAACTCGCATGTCAGCGTACTTCAATACGCTGTCAGAACAGCTGGCTTTGTCAGTTGGCTGGTGTCAATGCGCTCACAGCGTCGTCGTGGGCGCCCGCCAAAACGCATCTGCTTGTCAGCACATACAAGTGCATGGTCGGTGTCCAATCGTGTGCTACAAATCGAGCGACAGTTCTGGATGCAGCCTCTCTTGCGGTAACGGACAGCAATGTGATCGATCTGCGTCCAAGACTCGTTCGAGGCTGGTGGGCGCCAAGTCACCCTCCGGCAACTGCTGTGTCGGAAATTAGTGCTCGCAAGAAATAAGCGAGCATCTTCACACAAATGAAGCAACCGCACGCCTTTACCATTACGGGAGCCTACACAGTACGGACCGCCCAGATGCATTTCATCAATGGACCACTTTCCAATTTGTGCGTCCGGATCTCCAGCCAGCACAACAGTGTCCGAACTTCTTCTGTGGAGAAGGAGCTGGGTCAGTGGATGTTGGATGTCATTTTTTACCGAATCATTGCTAGCGTTTTTGGGTGCATGGGCAGCGATGATGAATAGACACCTATTAGTCCCGCTCGACTTTGAGGCTTTGAAAGAGCCAGCCAATCGGACCGCACACATCCGACTACTGCTTGGAATCCAATCAACCAGAGCAGCTTCAGCCCGGGAAATCAAGGCAATGCCTACTCCTGCTTGGCTGGTGCTCCAACCTGCATCGTCACCCTGTGAGCGCGATGTGAAAATACTGCTGGCGTCACCTGAAGGGGATGGCAAAGTGAGCACAGAGCTCGAGTCTCGCAGGCGGGTCTCCGATAATCAGATATCGATCGAGAGGGTCCTAATGTTCGGGCAAGTGCGGGTTGTCCGTTCTGTAGCAACGTGGGTACAATGAGGCATGTTAATCTGATGGAGGATCGATTGCTCCAAATGGAAGCTAATAAACTGGAATATACTACCAGCAACTAGCGGTTTATCAGTATCTCCAGACGTTATGCCACTCTGTCATACACATTGGACCTCCAGTTTCTCCACCCCAACACATGTCGGATACTTAGGAAGGTTCTCGCGACATAATATGAGCTCACTAGAACGTGCAACCGAACTGTACATTGCGGGACTTCCTATGCTCTGGGCATTGCGACGCAGTTTCTCCACATGGTCCGAAAAAAATCATCCAGCGCCAATTCACCTCACTCATTTGACCAATTCTTGAATACCGTGCCCCAGCATACCGTCCGATAGTGCAATGGGAAATTGAAATGCTGGAGCAAATACTGCATATGGCAACTAGAATGATACCCAGTCTAAGAAATTTTCCGTATGAGAAACACTGTGAAAGGTTTGGAAACTACACACTATCCTACAGCCAAATAAAAATTGACCTTATTATCGCCCATCGAGTAATACACTTGAATCACTTCCCCAAACTGCGGCCAATATTTCACCTGCGGGAACCCTGTAACACCCGAGAACACAGTTAACATCTCAGGGTCCCGAGCACGAACAAGGATCCCATCAGTGTTGTGTAGAACGACGAATCGCAGAGTTACGTAATACACTACCAGAAGGACTAATAGTGACGGATTCTATGAAGCCTTTTAAAACACCTATCGACGATTATTTCGGAAGCCTGTGCTTTTGTGAAACGGCTCACCGTGCACAAAAATACATCCAATTACCGAAAATAATGACACAAATAAGAAATCCTAACCGAACAAGGATAAACAAGTAACTGACCGAACACCACTGCGGACGATTCGCAATTAAATATTTTTGCTTTTTCGCAATTCGTTGTAGTTGTACAAAACCTTTCTACTTGCTAGTAAATGCAGTCTCAGTCTTAGTCACAGAGATTATAAGTGCGTTTTGGCAAACCTCACGAGTACCCGCACAATAAGGAAGCAAACGATTTTTTCACGTGCTACGAAATAAGGCGACTAAACAACGTAGTTGTGGCTGTGTAGACAGATAATGAACAACAGTGTAAGCCAGGGAGGTCAATCAGACGCTAGTATAAGCCAAGAGAAACGTTTAGAATGCTATGACTGTTGTCCAACGCTTCATTGGCTTATAATGCATTACGATCTTGGATAAGATCTACGAAGGACTACATGTAACGGGACAGATGTGCAAAACGACCATAAGGAACTGACGACAGAAAAGTGTGACAATTGACGCAAAAGTGATTTTTTATTTGGGACACTATTGCTGTAAACAATTTTCACCTTATCTGAGTATTTTAGATTTTACACTTGGTAACGAACGAATATCTTTACTAAAATGACGCCTCTCCACTTTCCATCCGAAGCGGACCTATACACACAGCTATGTCTCAGACAACTGCTTTTATTTTACTTATATGTGCACAGTTCTATAACCAGCAAACCGTTTCCTCATGATGATTAAAGTACACATTGAATTCTCTTCGCAAATAATTGCAACTAGGTTTGCAAACAACCTCGTGTTTATAGTTAAGAACCGCTGTACTCTTACATACATTCTAGTAAAATTTCGATTTCTGTTTCAGAACAATGTGTCGAACGTTTGAATTAAAATGTCGCGCATAAAATAATAAAACTCAATCTCAGGAGTTTATAGCAACTCTCGGATAATGCGTTCAACTTTTTATATACTGGTTGGTTCTTTCGCTATCAATACACTGATTTGATTCCAACGATCTCCGAAAATAATTCGTCAACACACTTGCGTTTACACGTGCACAAAATATTTCCTCGTAGGTTTATAACAAAGTGTGGTTTTCCAAAATAGCGGCTCGATTATCCTATTCGACTACGCCTTTATTAACTGGATCTGCTTGTTCGAGAATAAACAATGTTGTTAATGTAAATGAAAATTTCCCTTTTCTAATGTAATTTCTAGTCTACCTAATTACCTGCAAACTAATATCGTAAAAATTTATTTTCGCAAATTAGAAACAAGTTGAAACAGTTATTTCAACTTTATTCGGTTAAACATTTCGTGCCTCGCACCTTTGCCTCAAAGTTCTGGTTAAACCTACATGCATGCACCTACCAGCCTTCGTCTCCTTTCCGTGCTTTTCAAATTGTTGAAGGGAACTAGCTGTTTTAAACCTACATTGTCTGTTGTTTCTGTGCTTCACGTCCTGGGACGTGTTGTACGCAGATACGCCAAGTAGTTAGTCATGTGAACGAACTCATGCATGTGATCCGTGAATAAAGTGCTACGCGTTTCTTGATTGGATCTCTAGTTTAGTCTTCCCAAACACTTCGCTATCGTCCTTGCACGTTTTCCTGTTCCTTATTGGCTTCTGACATTTATCGTTATATCTGAAACATGATTGGATTCCAAGCAAGCTGAAGCATATTTAAGTGAACACTGTGTTACACTCATTTGGAAATTTTCTACCCTCCGCCCGTTTTCATAGCATATCGTTTGAAAGCAGCATGACGCTTTCATTTACTTGTCTCCTGTTGCTCTGCCTTTCTCTGCAACACCTTCCATGCTTTACTGGAATGCACATGCGCGGAGGATTCACTAATCCATGCGCACCAAGCGAGGAACAACAGTTAATTTACCTGCCCATAGTAAGCTTGTATTCACCCTGCTTTTTTTACTGACCATTTTATTTAGCTTCAAGCCAAGCTGGCAGCAGATGGAAGCAGGCATCTAAATCCTTTTGAGCTATTAAGCGTCTCTACACAAGTCGTCGCCGGAACAAATTATAAGTTTGTGGTAATTTTTCTTGGCTACCTCATTTATTCGAAATACAAAGGTCAAATTCAATGAAGACGCTTGCACGGAACTCAAATTCTATCAAGCCCTCGGCGAACCGCTGCATATGATGCGTTCAACCGGCAGCAGGACAGTACCATGCATACAACCTCTCTTGCCATGTAGGCCAACGTGACGATTTTAACCTAAAAGATTTTTTACTTTCCTTTCCTTAAATTCTCATGTCCGTATCGCCTTTCTTCGCATATTTTAAATGCAAGCTCAATCGGTTTTATCATCTTTTTTAAAGCTTTTCTAACACTCCAGTTTAATCGCGCCATTAGATATTTAATAGTTAGGGTTGGTAATCTAAAATAGTTCTGTAATTTATTTGATCATCTGGCAGCAACATTTCGATCATAGTTACACAAGCTTTATATGCGGTTTAATTCGTCGAATTCAAGCAACCACAATTTGGTTTCGTGTCCGTAAGAATACTTAAGCATATTCTGTTGTACACCGTTACTTTCTATATATCAGACAGTCTTCCGTCTGTTATCCGTTCAAAACAGATACGATTTACCTGACAAGCGCCAAGCTCCATCTTCGTTTTGAGGAGAACACGGTGAATAATCTTAAATTTTACAATATTAGAACTAGTAACAAATGAAGTACATTCATGTGTATGACATTTGCTTCGGGCTTTTTGCAGCTGGCATTAAACGCCGTGCCTGATTTGGAATACACAATGGAAAGCGAAACGGCACAACTCGCGAACGCCCAGGTCTGTATATGTAAGACCCATCAAATAAAAAGTGTAAAACGGAGTTCCACTCGCTTTATGTATAGCTAACTGCACTAATTGGCCACATTGATCGCTTTGTATGAAGTCGAGGTCTAATGTGTTAGAATCCCTGAATACCACGGCTTAGCAAACAAGTAGTATTTGCTATTTAACGTGTCAATTAGACGGCTTCGTCAGCTATAGTATTTATGCCATTAATTCAAAACAAATGTTTATCTGTGAACAGCATTTTCAACCTTAAATATAAAGGTTAAGAGACCTTTAGCTTAGAAGAAGAATACAAGATTTACCATGGTATGACCCGCGTTTTAAAAAATGTATCGCAAAATAAATTAGTTGCAGCAACTTCTGTATTTATTGCACAGTGCCGATCTACTTTCCTCGAATATAATGTCTGTTTTGTTGTTATATGAACGTCACCAAAGTACATTGAATTTGCACAGTCTGTAAGTCGAATATAAATCATGTCTTGAATAATGAATAATAATTGTATACGGGTAAAGGCGGACTGTTTTACAATCCCCGTTGGATGCTCCGGTGGGTTATTGAAAAACCTTAATTAAATAGTGCATTTAGTAGTCTTGCTCTCAAAAGTGTGGACTTAGCACACGTAGTGCAGTAGCCCTGCAGTCCAAATGTTTCCATAACTTCAATAGGCGGAAAATAATCCATTCACGGTATTTCCGAGAGTAGGATGGAGAGTACCGTTTAGTAACCAAATGGAAGTGGCGGAGTGCTTCATCCACCCTACTTTTCATATGGCTAGCGTAGGCGCAGAAACAACCGATTCGAGAAGAGAGCTCCATGCTTGACACACACGAAGGGAAAAGAAAAATCTACGATATTCAAGACAGCTGTACTTTTCCGCTACTTACAAGCAGTGGCATCTAAGCTTCGTGTTACTGTTGCGTTTCTGTAAATGGCGGCACATATGATTTGGATAGTGCAAAATCAAGTACGCCGTAATCAAGTCCCCTCGTAGTCGACGATATTATTCACTGCATACTCCCAAACGTTTCAGCCCCTGCTCATATGCAAGGTGGCGCATTCCAATTAGGTGTTTACAAGTTCGACGTTAACGTTGGTTCAGGGCAATAGGTTCGTGCTTCAGCCATGACTTCCAGGCTTGGATTACGTATTTGATATGGGGTCAAACATACGCATTCAGTATCTGTCTGAAAATGGTGGTGTCTGTTTGTCCGAAAGCCCGTCGTGGCAAGCACAAGTGCTGGTTGTCAGTTTTCAATGTCTTGGCTGACTGCTTGAAACAACCCAGATTATTCTGAACAAGCAGCCATAGATAGTATTCGATAGATACTCTCTAATGCACTTGCGTTCCCAGCTTGTAGGTATAGGTATTCTTGTGTCGTATGGTGAGTAGTTTGCATTTGTCCGCGATGAACTATAACAGATTTTAGGTTGCCGACCTATGTACCATCACAAATTCAAGCTAAAAGGAATTCCGATCGGCATCCGACTGCATCCGGTGCCATATCTTGATAACGTCAGCAAACAGCCAAAAATTGTGGAACGATTGTAAGCGCCAGGTCGTTGTTGAGTACCAAAAATAATAGTGGTCCTAGTACTGAGCCCTGAGGCACGCCAGACTCGACTGGTATGGAGTCAGATAAGGAACTCCAAACGCTGACCACTAATTGTCGTTGCAGGAGAACGTTAGCGATCCAGCTCAAGAAAGAGTTATGTATCCCGTAATGTTGGATTTTGGGAAGGAGGATCTGATGATTTAAACGAAGGAATGTCTTTGACAAGTTCAACAGATATCACATCAATTGCTTTTAAAATGTCAAATGACTCGGTACAACAATAAGTTACGATTATTTACTTCGTTGTGTACCATGGCTATAGTCGATAGCCGTGTTGCACAGGAGCACTAATGTTACAAATTTTTAGATAAAACACCAGTAACAATGGCTCCCATGACCTTAGACATAACAGGGTAAAGAGAAAATGGGGGGTTGTTTGAGGCCTCAGTCCTGCTTGCACCTTTGTGAATCGGAGTCATTATTATAAGTTATCACGTCGTGGGACTCTGTTTGGTCTATGTAGCGCTGAAAGAACGAGGCCAAAACTTTTTCCAGTTGTCTAGCTGCTGCTCTCAATGCCTCTTGGAGTAAGGTGTCGACTCGTGAGGAGTTATGATTGCGCAGAGTTCTCACCATCCGAGAAACAGCTTCAGCAATAAAAGAGATGGGCGTGAGTCCTGGAGGCGAGAAAGCAAAAGCTGTAAGTTGGTCTGATAGTAAGACTTTCTGAAATGTGAGATCATAATGTGTCCGCAAGACATTTGCTGTGCCTAAATATGTTCTAGTTGGACCATCAGTCGTCCGGAGAGGAGGAATTCCTTGCCTCATCTTACGACGGCCATGGACATACTTTGAAAGTAGTTTAGCGTTCGCTCTAAATGTTTTCGCCATATTCTACTGACATGCGACTTTGTCAACTCTGAGCAGTTGAGTGCAGTGGTTGCGACGATCTACGTAGCTGTCCCAATTAACTGGTTTTGGTGATGGTCTGTACTCTCGACAGGCTATGCTTCGTGCAGTCATCCAATTTCCAACTTTGATTCTCACGAAAGAAACGGTTTTAACCTCCTTTCAAAATACTTGTCTACGAGACATCCATCATTCTACAGGTGGGAAACACAAAAACTACTGTGCCGTAATACATAGAAGAAAAAGGATAAAACTGTGCAACAGGTGCAAGTCAGCTTACCTACCGGTGACAGATGGGCATGGTTCCCATATTGTACCAGCTGGCTATATTGCATCAAAAAACTTACTATGCAAAATTATATAAGGCTACATAGTGAGAGGGTGATTGGAGGTAAGGCTAAGAGGAATGGATTGGGACCCAGAAATTCACAGCACAAACGCCACTGAGGTCGGTTCCTAGCCAAATCAGCGAGTGTATCCAACCAAACGTATTCATCGTCTTTTGGACCCCAACCAGGAAGCCGAGACGCTCCAACCGAGGCCAGCTGCGAAGTAAGCGTCTCCATTCCTCTCTACCAAGTCATCGCTTGGCCACCATTCCACTTCTTCTATCCACATCCACGGCGCGCAAAAAACACACGTCGCGCGAGCCGGTGGACTGGCATGCGTAACACCTGGCCGAGCAATATGAGCTTGGTGCTTGAAATAACGGGTCTGAGCGGCTGATTTCCTTTTCCTGTGCCGTAAACAAGGAGTCGAACACTCGTTGATTACTCGGTGTTCCCACCAGATGTGAGCTAAATTGCGAAAGCACCGGTGGTCGAGCGTAGCTATCCTCTTCAGGTCCATTGATCTAAGTGGCTAAGTTTCACAACCGTACAGTAGGGTCGAACGTACCGCTGTATTGTGCACTCTTCCCGTCAGGGAAACAGTGATGTCACGCAGGCGTCATACTTGGGGAAGATTAGCAAAAGCGCCTCGAGCTTTTACTATAGGTTCGTGATATTATTTTCAATCCCACGGACACTGTTACAAATACCCAGGTAGTTGCAATTTTGGACGAATTCTATCGGTTTCCCACCAAGGGTCAGCGTAGGAGGCGGTCCATGCCAATCTTGGAGGAACGCTTTGCACTTCGAGGGTGATAAGCATAACCCGAAGTGACGGACAGCCAGCGCTAATCTGTCTAGTGCGGATTGGCACGTTTGTGAGCTGTCACTGATAAGGGCAATATCATCATTATATTCTAAGTCAACAAATCGTTCACCCGTGAGCAGTTCCACACTTTCTAAGTCGTGTTCTGCAAGTGCGATTTCCAAAGCTTCAGTAACAGCAAAGTTGAAGAGGAAAGGGGATAGCAGGCCTCCGTAACCAGTTGATTGAAGTTGCTGACAAATTCAAGCAAAGTGGCTTCAAAGTGGTCTCCAAAGGGACAACGAGATTGTGGTACTGATGAACTGGTCTAAAAAGGTCGTAGCGCGCAATGGTGCGCACCATCTTAGTGCCCAGCTGGTGGTATTCCGCATAGCAGATGAAGTCGAAACTTAGGAACGCATGATCACTGCTACCTAAACGGCATTCTACAATCAATACATCATTCAAATGTTCTACGTAGTTGGACACAATGTTCAGCAAATTGGTTTATTAACAATTGCCTATAATGGTTTGATACTAAAGGAGAACATTGCTTAGAAGTTCGTGCAGATCCCCTTAGAATGTTTTGCCAGTTGTAGAGGGGGTCTTGTAAACAGTGAATGTGAAAGCCTCCCATGATACGAATGTGAGTGTGCTTTCGATTGGATTACATCTTAAATTTGTCGGCAGGTGGGGTTTTAGTCCCCGTGTCGAGTTTGGGAATCAGTACACCAAAGCTATAAGGCAGCTGTCACTGCCATGTAATTGGAGACGACACCGAAGATAATCGGCGAACTGTAAACC